TTTTCAGCCACAAATAATTAATTTCTGAACTAGGCATTTTTTTAACAAAGTGATTTTAAATTAAATCATTATAAAATCCTGAGCTTTTTTATTTTACCAAAACATACAGAGCATGCAGATAGGTCCCAACCCTATTGACGTCTGAGTCATCTGAAAAAGTGAAAGGAGGGTTCATCCAACCCTCTTTCCTATAAGCGCGAGGGTGAAAAAGGCTGTTTAGTTCTGACATTGTTTTGGACGCCAATGACCATAGCTGTTCGAGATGAAAGTTACAGGACGCATACATGGTGTCCTCCAGAGGTCTCACAATTTGTATATCGGGGAATTTTTTAAGGTTAAATGAGGTCAGGTCGGTCACGTACCATCACTGTTATAAATCAATGGGGAAATATAAAAACTGTTATTTTGGCGCCGAGAATGATCTAAAACTATCTCACGTACATGGTATCGTGATTTCATGCACTCCTTTCAAAGTCCAATGCTTCACTTTTGCATTGTTAACCTTGCGTGACGTCATTTATGACGTCATTAGGGTCGTGCGAGTTTTTCGTCAATAACTCCCGATCAAATGGAGCTAGAGTCGGGAAAACCACCAATGGACTCGGGAAGACCTTCCGAATCGAATGATATGCCACATGATACCCTTTGCCCAGCTTCGTGACCTGAGGGGCTCTGACCTGACCTTGACCCGAGGTCAACTACTTAAGTTGACCTCACCCTAGCAAAAAGTATACCATTCGATGCACCTGAGCTAGGCGAACACAATGATGCCAAAATGGCGGCTCTGCGGCCATTTTTTGCAAAGTTATTTACTAAAAACCGAACCCGTAACTTCAAGTTACTTGACCTGACCTCAGACGCTACCGGTTAATCTGAGACCTTAAAATCGGATACCAATCGCTGCGACTTGTAACGGCACACACGCTCGTTTTTTCCGCGAGTCTCTAGCTCTATTAGAAGCGAAACGGCGTGCTGGGGTCGTATCAACCCCTCCGAAACCCATTTTGTTTGCAGGAAAATGAGGAACTTATAGAAAGAACACCTTTCTAATTATTTGCATGTCGATTTGCAATGACATGAAGTTTATTTTGAAAAAATAAAAATGTGAAAAATTTCGGTCCCAAAAGTCATTAGAGGCAAATAAAAAAAGATTAAGGTTTTTGCTCAACAATGAAATTTTTTCTTTGGAATTTTTAAATAGTAATATTAATTTTTGATTCATCACAAGCATAGTGTTGTTTACTATTTGTTGGTTGCTTAACCCGTTCTTGAGTTATAGGCCATCAAACTCACCGTTACAAACCGAAGTTAAAAAAATGTAATGCAATATAACTCAAAAAGTTTTGATCTGACAAGTCTGATATTTTGCCAGGCGTCTTTGGGGCCTATGATTATCCCTAGGACCGATTTTCATTAAAATCTGAGAGATGAGGGTGACGGGCCTGGTACGATCTATCGTGGAATGCCCCACCGGCACCTATAGGGAAAAGTGACCACGGCACTGTTTGCTGACTTCCTGCGTTTGTATTGATGAAGGTAGAACATCTAAACATGCTTGTTCCAACATAAAAAGGTTGAATTATCACAAGGGCAACTACACCAAGGCAAACGAAATGTTTGAAGGTGTCCATTGGAATAGTGAGCTGCTGGGCAAGGATGTTGAAGGTATGTGGCAGACATTCTTATCCATCTATAACGAGGTAGTGTCTCAGTGTGTCCCTGTGTTTTGCAATGATGAAAGGAGAAAACGAAGGAAATGGATGAGCCCACAACTCTTCAAGCTGATCAAACAGAAACAAGAAACTTGGAGGAAATATAGAAAAAGCACCAAGTCAAAAGGACTAAGAAGCCAGTATCAACAAATAAGAAACAGAGTGACAGCAGCGGTGAGAAATGCAAAAGCTGAGTTTGAACACAAATTAGCCAAAGAGGTCAAGAGCAACCCAAAAGCCTTCTTCTCCTATGCTCGAAGCAAGACATCTGTGAAAGAAGACGTCTCGTTTGTGAAAAATTATGATGGCATCCTCACCAGTTCTTTGAAGGAGACATGTGATACTCTCAACAAAGAGTTCCAGAAGGTTTTTCACAGACCATCAGCTTCTGAACAGATGCAGCAAGTCCCATCTAGAAACACTTTTAATGGAAGGAAGCTTGCAGAAGTTGACATCAGCATCGAGGCAGTGAAGAAACTAATGAAGAATCTCAAGACGCACTCATCAGCAGGACCTGATGGAGTGCATCCAAGGGTTCTGCGGGAGTGTGCAGATGCCATAGCACGGCCTGTTCATAAGATCTTTGAAGAGTCCCTTAAAACAGGATGTCTACCAACTGACTGGAAGAAGGCAAATATCACGCCCATATACAAGAAAGGACCAAAGACAGACCCACTAAACTATCGGCCGATAAGTTTAACTTCTGTTATGTGCAAGCTGCTTGAGAAAATTCTTGTCTCGAACATCATGGATCACCTTGAAGCGAATGAACTCCTGTCCCGACACCAGCATGGGTTCAGGTCTGGTAAATCATGTCTGACACAACTCCTTGAGTACCTCTTCTTTGCTGAATAAGCAATTGATCAAGGACTATGTGTTGATGTCATCTAGTTAGACTGCTCAAAGGCCTTCCACACCGTTCCACACCAGCTTCTTCTCTTAAAGCTTCAGTCAGTCGGCATTGATGGCTCTGTGCTAGCCTGGATACAAAGCTTCCTAACAGCCAGACTTCAAAGAGTTCACATCAAGGGCTTCTACTCAGATTGGAGATGTCTGGAGTGGTGTGCCGCAGGGTAGCGTCCTCGGCCCGACCCTCTTTCTGATCTATGTGAATGATCTCCTGGACAGACTGAACCTTGGACTAAACTCACATGGGAAGCTTTTTGCTGATGACGCCAAAATATACAGGAATGTTATGAACGACGAGGATAGAAAAAAACTTGCAAAGAAGATCTCGACAAGCTTATTGAATGGAGTAAGAATGGTCATTGAAGTTTAACCAAGAAAAATGCAAAGTAATGCACATCGGCAAAAACAATATGGGCTACGACTACAAAATGGATAACAGAATATTAGCAACTACCTGTGAAGAAAACTAGAAAGTACAGCCAGTGGCGTAGCCAGAAATCAGCGAAAGGGGGGGGGGGGGCCATGGTGCTCGAGGCGGCGTCTTTTTCCCTTGAGAGGGGCGCCATTGTCAGCTAGTGACAAAAAGCTAGTGTCTGTCTAAAATGTAACTGTCTAAGATGATAGTTTTGCATCAAATAGGCATTGATTCGATGCAGCTCGTCACGGGGAGTCTAATGGTGGTCTTTGTTTTGCGCTACGAGGTCTATAATTGCCAAAAATCGAGTTTGAAAAATGTTACGTCATCAATTTTGAACAGTTTTTTCGCTATAACTTGGCCAAGAAAAGAGGTATCGGCCTCAAATTTGGTATTTAGATAGAAGGCGGTAGGGACTATCACATATATTCCGTTTTTTATATTTAAAAATTTTGTTGGATTTTTCGGCTATTTTATTTAAAAAAAAACTATTTTTGTTTTTTGGGGGTCAAAATCATGAAATTTTAAAAATCAAGGTAGCAGTTTTGTAGCCCTTTTAATTCTACGTCTTTAATGTTTGAAACATTTTTCTGTATCTCTAAAGCTGTAGGCCTGACAGCTCTTCCCGCGAAACCTTTTTTTGGGTCGAAAATGGCAAAAATGACGTCACTCTGACGCCATTAGCGGCCAACCTATCATAGCTTTTGGAGAAACTATTGGTCACAATGTGCAATAGCTATTCACGGGAGGGTACTGAATGTTTGGTGACGATCAGCGCAGCGGTTCTGGAGATATATCGAAAAAACTAAAGGGGGCAAAAAAATGCCCCCCCCCCACCGCCTGGAAGGTTAATGCCAAATTCTGGTTCATTTGCCTTGTCTCGAAAAATAGAACACGATGCCAGTCAAACTAATCTCGTGCAGATCTAAGCTAAAAGTTATCTGTTATTACACATAAACACCCTCCGCGAAAACGTATACACCTTTTTGCACCTTAAATAGGCATCTTTTCAATCAATTTCGGCGAACTGCATTCGATTTTAGCGATCTCGCATTTGCTTCGAATAGGGGCATTTTGTTTCGGCATATGGGCTCTACTTTGACATCGGGCACACGACAGCGATATCAGTCATCATTTCGCCAAGGGGCATTCAATTTCGACAAGGCCTTGCATATTTAGACGTTAGACATGGATTTAAACACGAGACATGCAATCTCGTCATTTTACAATTAAAATCGACATCACTCATTTGAGTTAGACATTGCTTATTTAAAAATCGTTGATTAAGCAGCTTTGAAAAATAAAGAAAAAAGACCTGCTGGATGCTCGTCGTCCCAGTAGCTCCCAATCAAGCTGCTCAGAATCTTTGTAAATAAAATTTTCCTACAGCACGGGTGGTTAATTCATCCGTACTCCATCTGCATCCTTATCCATCTGCATACGTTAGTGTTTCGCTGTTCCGTGCTGATGGTCACCCATTGTACGCATGCAGGGTCTCTCCGATAATAGCGCGCCCTCCCCGGGCTACCTCTTGAGCCGCTGTACGCGGTACCGCGTTCAATGGCAGCGGGCCCGTCGAGATGGACTCAGTCGCTGCTGCGCACCCGTCGTGGTTGACAGAGCCCAATTCTACCTAACCCTGTGTTGCCACGGCCCTGGCAACAATCTCAAATGTCAGCTCTCAACACTAAAAGAGCCTAGTACAAACAAAATGCATAATGCATATGTTACACATACATATGCACAAGCAAGCAATCTGCTGCCATGGAGATAATGTTTGTGACTGTCGTACCTTAATTAGCAATGTAAGACGTTTTTTTATTTACATATGTATTACATAATCTTCAAAGGTATGTATGAGTGTGCGAGCGTATGTTGTCATTATCTTCAATGCATTTGCATATGATTGTACGAATTAGCACGTGTATTGACACAATACATATTCATGTGCAAAATAAGGCCTCTGTTCACAAAACACCCATCATACATTGTACAATGACCGCACAAAAATCACCTGAGCTGTACGATACACAATGTACGTACATCTAACAAAAAGCTGCTCCTGGAAGATAAAGAATGGTGCGCAGATAAGCACTAGTATCGACTCCGCGTGACAGGGACAACACGTGACGTTCAGCGGGGACGTCCGTTGTGCGGGATTCCCTCACTCATCCGCCAGGATATCTTCCCGTCCCAGGCAGGCGCCCAGAAAGGAGTTGGCGTGGCGGTAGGCGGCGCACACCTTCTCCCGGGTGATGGCCGGCACGGCCTGGTGCGCCAGGTCCTCCAGGATAGAGCTGCGCCAGGTGACGATGCTGCGGTACCCGGCCGTCAGCGCCGCCGCCCGATCGTCCAGGCGCTCTTGGACATGGCTCAGTCGCTGCTTGAGATCCGCCTTGAAGACGGAGAACATGTTCTCGATCGGATTGAGAAACGGCGAGTACGGTGCCAGCATGCGGACCGTGTGCAGCTCGGGGTCGGCCAGCTGGGCTCTGCGGTGCGCCGGCGCGTTGTCCATAACAACTGTGGCCGGCTCGTCCCCCAGGACCACACCCAGGCTGGTGAGGAAGTCGCCGAAGATCTCTGCCGTGACGCCGCCCCACACCACCTCGTAATACAGGACGCCGACCTGGTCGCTGATGGCCATGATGACGGTCATGTTGCGGCCGCGCTGACCGCACACCACCCGGGCGGCGCGCTCACCGACCGCAGCCCGTCCACGGGAGCGGCTGATGTGGAGGTTAAGTCCCGTCTCATCGACGTAGACCCGATGTGCGGCCATTCCTGCGTTGATCATCCAGGATGCGTACCTGTTGAGAGCACATGCAAATATGTACTTAATACATGAATGTGTGCATGCATCATTACCGAACGAGACAGATCAAGCGATTGGAAATCAAATCAGCTATATAGGAGATTTTTCGATTTAAATCAGTCATTAAACATGGCTCCACATTTGAACGGTTGCACAATTCAAGCGTTGATTACGTTTAAAATGTGTACTTTGCAGATGTATTGCACATAAAAACATACTCACTCGTGTCTTTTTTCCTTCGTCGTTGGGCTGTTCCTGTCGGCCGGGACAGGTCTCGTCTGCTTCACCGTAATCAGGCAGTTGTGGAGAGCGCGGCTCACGGTGGCGTTTGAGACCTGTGGCTTCTCCGGCCAGGTCTCTCGCAGAAAGTTGTTGAGGCGCTGCAGGGTGACAGTCGGGTCTGATTCGATGATCATCAGCAGAAGATCCCGCATTTCATCGTCGACCTTGACGTGTCGGCTGCCACCTCTTGGCCTCGCTGCTGTTTCTCCTGTTCTTTGCCATTTGGCGACAACTGACCAGGCGGTTGTGCGCCGAACTCCAAGTTCCTGAGCGACTGCAACATAGTCTCTTCCGTCCTTAAATGCGTCAACGATTCTACGCCGGTCATCGGCGCACACCGACCCGTTCTGACGACGTGGCATAACAGCCGCCGCGTGGCCGCCGCCCTTCATTAGACTACACATCAGCCTTAAGCGCATACGCGACGCCCGACCCAACGCCGGGTCGGGGCCGCCCCGGGGCAGCCAATCAGCGGCCGACAACGAGCACCGCCGCGGGCGGCCCACGGCCCGGACCACGACAGCAGCGCGACGGCGGACGGCAACAGCTCAATAGCGTCCACCAGTCAGCCCCAAAGTCGGCGGCGGCAGAGCCCACTGGCTGAGGGGGGGGGGAGGCACTTACATATCCATGAAAATGCGTCATAGCTTTCACATGATGAGGCAACTTTATCATAAATTTAAGGTAAATCTACATATAAAAAAGCAAAACAACCATTGTCTAAATTGACTGTAAAATGTCAAAGTCAAATGCGGTTCTTCATTCACAGCTGACCATTGTCGAAATTTAATGCCCCTGTCGAAATTCGACGCAACAGATCGACTATGAACCGATGATATTTTAAAATTGACGAAATAATTCGAAATGTGTGAGGTATGTCTAAATGGAGGTAGCTCTGTCGATATCCAATGCAAAGTGCCGAAATTGAATGACCATCTGCCGATTTGTGGTGCAAAAAGGTGTATTTTGAGGCTAAGACGTTTTTCTTAGGTAAAATCTGAGATAACGTATAAGAAAGAGCATAATTGAGTGTCTCTTTACAGTACCGTGGAACATTTTAACCCACATTCTTAAAATGCCTTTCCGAAAAGATAAGAGTTGCTTAATTCACTGATGAGATAAATTGACAATTGTCTAGCTAGGCTGCAAGCTGCCGACGTAAAATGCAATATGACAAAACAGAATGCCCCTTGTCGATATTAAATGCCCCTGCTGCTGTTCAATGACCCTGGTCGAATATCAACAGATGCTAGTCTCAATCCGTGAAACGTGTCGAAATGCGTGCTCCAGTGTCGAGTTGTTGGAGAGCCTGTCGAGATAAGGTGCCCGCTGCCGTATTTGAATGAACGGATGCCGATTCGGATTGAAAAAAGGTGTACAAAGAGCTATCGAATGCGCTTTGCTGCGGCGCTGTAGCTCAATCTCTTTGATCCTGACTTATGCGCCGCTGTCGAAAAATGTCAAAATCGGCGAAATTTGATTTTCAGTTGTCTCCGGTGACCTGGCCTTCGACCAGTTCGACCTAACCTTAAAAATGATCTAAGTAGTTTTGTAATAGTTTTCGACGCTCTTTCGAACGCCGCCTTCTGCGTGTCTCGACGTGACCCACAAGCTGAGTTAGAAGTGGGTGCTGAAACACCCCCAACACGTTCAATAAAAAAAAAACGCGTGAGCTAGGGGCGGCACCGCATTGCTTGGCGGGGGCGGCATCGCAATAATGGGTGGCACTGCGCTGAGGTACACCACTTGAATTGAGGGGTGGCATTATACGGTGAAGGGGCGGTATCGCAACGAGGGGTGGCACTAACGAGGCTGCCTTATAAGAAACGCTTGGCACATCCTAGCCCAGCTCGGCGCCGCCTGGCTGCTGCATCTTGAAAAGGGCCTTTGGTGTCGATGAGAAAGCCCCATTGTCAAATAATTACCTAGTGTCAGTGGTTTCAGGGGGCGGGGGCGCTATCGATCTTGAATGGGGCGGGGCGACTGAAGTCTCCATTCAGATGGGCGTCAGCGTCTACTGGAGGGCGCCAACGACCTCGAATACGGCGAATGTGATCTTCAGAAGGGCACCGGGTGCTCTAGATGGGTGCAGTGCTTGGATGGGGTCACTGCTGCCTTCAGTAGGGCGTCGGACGGTCTGGATGGGCGCCATTCATCTCGGATGGTCCGACTGGGATTTTCAGAGGGGCACCAGTGTTTCAGAGGGGCGCCATTGATCTAGGATGGGCCAACTGAAATTCCGGTTCTGGTGGGCGCCAGTGGCTCTTGAGGGGCGCCAGCGAACTCGGATTGATGGGGGCGACTGTGCTCTTTAGAGGGACGTTGAAGGCGCCATTGGGCATGGATGGGGCCACTGTTGCCTTCAGCAGGGCGCCGGACGCTCTGGAGGGGCGCCTTGAGCTTGGGTGGGGCGATTGTAGTCTCAAGGGGCGTTGTCTCGGATGGGGCGAATGTGATTTTCAGAGGGACGCCGGGTACCTACTCTAGAAGGGCGCCATTGGTTTCAGAGGGTTGCCATCGATCGTAAGATGGGGCAGCTGTAATCTCCGTTTAGATGGGCGCCAGTGACTTTTGAGGGGCGCCGACGACCTCGGATGAGGACGACTGTGATCTTCAGAGGCACGCCGGACGCTCTGGAGGGGCGTCATTGGGCTGGAATGGGGCGACTTTAGTCTCAAGCGGGACGACTTCGGTCTCAGGGGGGGGGGGGGGCGCTAGTGGCTCGTGAGGGCGCTATTGATTTCGGATAGGGCGACTGTGATCTTGAGAATAGTGCGGGTGCTTTAGAGGGGCGCCAGTGGTTTCATGGGCCGCTATCGATCTTAAGTATGGGCCGATTGGGGGAAGCTGAGAACTTCAGAGGGGCGCCGGGTGCTCTGGAGGGGTGCCATCAACCTTTAATGGGGCGACTGTTCCGTTCAGATGGGTGTCAGCGGCTCTTCAGGGGCGCCATCGACCCTGGGGATTCGGAATATTCTGGTTTCCGGAGGGGCGTCCTTCAACATTGAGGGGCTCAGGTCCTATTTCGGGGTGCCCTGGAGAACATTGGGGTGTCCAGGCACCCCCCAAAGAGATATTGAACTCGATCCCTGCCTGCACATCACTTTTTAATTCATGTTCCCTCTGTAAAACGGCATCAGCCTAGTCGGCGCTAATTGGGGCGCCATCTTGGCGGCTGGGCGGAAAGGGGGGGGCCATGGCCCCCATGCCCCCCCCTAAATACGCCACTGAGTACAGCCCACCGCTAAAGTAATGTAGGGTTTTACCAATCTCAACGGTTGGCTTTGACTGGCGATTGTTTAATGCGGAGTGATCGAAAAGAAGATGTCAATAGGTAAAGTTGCAGCTGCAAGGGTGATGATACATATAAGCTACATTCAAAGTTTCATTGTAGTCTGGCTAATCGTTCCTAAGCTTCAGAAGCAGAACATACCCATGACTGAAACCGCACATTACTTCTGCTGTGGACTGTACGTCGCGCATCGGGGGCTGCGCCGCAGGCGGAGCCGGTGACGTCCCGGGCAGTGCCGTCCCGGCTGACCCAGTTCTCAGTTCTGCGCAGGCGCAGAGCTGGACGGCTGGCTTTGCAGGTGCTCCGCGTTTTGCTTCATTATTCTTTATCAAGATGAGCTTTCCAAGATCATATGTACTTCTATAATCTCCAGTTTTTCAAGCTCTTTACTTTAAGTGTAAATGTGGTACCTGATTCTGACGGGCTACATTATTATCAGCAAGCCTTTTTGAAGGTACGTACAACGTACAAAAACTTCGTTTCAAGATTGAATAAGATGCGTCATATCTCTCCGATTGTCTCACTCACAAGAACTGCCCCATCCAGGGGGCGTCGAAGTCTAGTTCCTACCAAACTGGCACTTCCATGCCTACGTCACCACGAGGACGCCCGAGGGCATTTACATGTTGAAGATAGGGAAATTGCCATAGTTTAGAGCCGCCTGGAGGGCAACCTTGAGATAGATGATAACGTAAATGTGTGCTAATATGATCATCAACATGTTATTTATCCAAATCCAGGGCCAATTAATCGATATCTTGTCACGTTTTCCTGTGGTGATGCGCTAACTTTCGTGGTTCTTGCAGCCAATAAGGGTGTTTCATAGTGCGATTCAGCCGCATTATCGACTTTAATGCCATAAACCGCCACGGAACATATGATTTGCAGCTCCCTGGCGTGATAGCTGCCAGTAGGGATCCGGAGTCGGAGTCATGAAGTCGGTCGGAGTGGACAGTTCTGACCTGAGTCGTCGAGTCGGAGTCAGAGTCGATTTTAAAAGCTGGAGTCTGAGTCAGTCACCGAAATTCGATCCCCTGCGCAGACCTTTCAGGCCTCAGGGTTCCGTAGTCGGAGTCGTAGTTGGTCCGAGTCGACAGTTCTGACCAGAGTCAGAGTCAGAGTCGATTTTGAAAGCCAGAGTCGGAGTCGGAGTCACCAAAAATCCATTGCCTGCGCAGACCTGCTAGGGCTGTGGAGTCGGAGTCGGTCAGAGCCGACATTTGAAATCAAAGTCAGAGTTGATTTTTGAAAGTCTGAGTCAGAGTCGGAGTCATCAAGACACCCATGGACGATCCGCAGTGCCATGCAGTAAGGGCGCTGCCGATCGATGCCCTGAATTGCCTATGATTTATGAATTGAATGAATAGATGGCAATTAATTAGGTACCTTCTATGTATTATTCATCCCTTGCCACTTGGAGGACTTACTTTCAGTAGAAAAAGACGGATTATTTGTTTGTTTATTTATTGACAAATATTTTTTGAGCAGTTAGGGATACAGACACAAAACACAATGATAGCACCTCGCTGTTGCATAGCATTGCTAGATAGATGTTGAAATGTGAATTGCCATTGAAGAATCTACTGATTTTCCAGGCGGCTCTCGTCTTCAAGTAACTACTGGTCTTGTAAGATCTCTTGATTGCTCACCGTCTGGTGTCTAGTTCCAAGGTTTTCTGAAAGCTAATCAAACGTTACCATGGCTGCTCTTGATGGCATAGCGCTGGCTGGTTCTGGGTTCTTAATTGGTGGTTCTTGCGTCTGATCCTGTAGCTTCATGTTCCATCACATCTCATTAAATTTCTAATGGAACAGACACTTCTACCTTTTATTTCACTATCAGTCGACTTGCATTTACCCATGTGGCCTGCTGGCCCTTTTATTTCCACGATAGAATCTACCAATTATTGAAAAAGCCTCGGATAAAAAAGCAAGAAAAGTGTGTGAAGTTAAATAATTTGCGGCGGTCCTAGAAAACCAGAAAAATATCAAAAAGCCTGTCTATCTCACTTCCCTCACTTCATAACAAAAAACACGCAGCAAAACATGCGAAAGAGTCCTTAGCAACGCCTTAGCAACGCACTTGTCTGAAGTGCGCAATATGTGTCACATCTGGAAAATTTAGTAGCTACTTGATTATTCAACTAGAGTTGGACTGTAATAGCTAGGCTTTTACAAAGAAAATAAGTGTTTGCTTATGGAATTTATAGCAACTGGTTACTTAACTTCGAAATAATGATTTATTACAGAAAAAGCTTGTTTGCGACATATTTGTAAAGAAACAACGGAAATAGCTTTGACTCGTACGCTATTCTAGTACATTTTTGGTAGAAAACTTCGTCCAACCTTATGTTTTAGGGCCTTGGCCCCATCCACGCAAAATTTCATTTAAAAAATAACGTGACGTTGAGAGGCTACCACCCTCAATACGACGAAAATAAGAGGACTTCAGTCACTATCGCTTCTGGGTGTTCTACAGGGGCTCCTTTAAGTCCATGGACGTTTCAAAACAGACTGATTAGTCAGCAAGCTCTGCCTTTTCACAA